ATAACAAATCCCTTGGACTTGTTTGGATTGAAGGATTTGGAGATGGATTTCAAATCCCCACCCCTCCTTTTTAGTTGTTTTTTGAGCAATAGTGGTGGATTTCAAATGACTCCAAAATTGGAGTCATTTCAAATCCATTCCCCAAATCAAATCCCTCCCCAAATCACTCCGTCCAAATGGACCATTACTTTATTACACAATAATAATGAGTTTTTTTGTGTTAATATTACTGTGCTAGAGATTAATATAGCAATATTATTGTGTTAAACTATAGTTTAGTTAATTTTACTGTTTTTAACAGTAATATAGTTAATATTACTGTCAATCACAGCAATATTGCTGTTTAAACGAAAAAAAAGTTACAAAAAGAAAGAAAGGAAAAAAAAAAAAAAATTCAAAAAAGTTAACGCCGGAATCCGACGAAAAAATCCGGCGGAAAAAAAAAAGTTTTGAATTTTTTTTTTTGAGAAAACAAAGAGTTTTGGGTCAAAATTGAATAATTTATGAAATTTGGGGTCAAATAAAAGTTAAATTAAGTTAAGGACGAAATTGGAGCATATTAAAGTATGAGGGGTTATTTAGTCATTTACAAAAATCTAGACCATGTGTGCACTTATTGGTAAATGAGTTTTTTGCCTGGATCTCTTTATGAATAAGTGTACCCATTGATGGACTTATTTGTAAAGACCCTTATTTAATAGTGTTTGATGTTTGATTTCCTTAACATCAGCCAAATTACTAAAAAATGACCGAATTACCCTTTCTTATTATACCTAGTTTTTTTCTCATTTTTAATATTTTTATTTTTTTTATCTTTTTCGATTTTTTTACCTTTTGTCGAACTTTTTTTTTTCTTCAGTTTTCCAATTTTTTATTTTATTTTCCAAAAAAAAGAATCGAAAAAAAATATTTTTTTAATTTCTTCGGAAAAATATTATTTTTCAATGTTTTTATCTTGTTCGGTTTTTTTTGAAAAAAAATATTCTTCGAACTTTTTTTTTTCGAAAAAATATTTGTTATTATTTTTCGATTTTTTCAGAAAAAAAAAATTTATTTTTCCATTTTTTTTTATATTTTTCGCATTTTTTATGTTTTTTTTTATTTTTTCGAAAAATTATTTATTTTTCGAAAAAAATATTATTTTTTCGAAATTTTATTTTTATTTTACTTTTTTTTTTGTACTAATTATTTTTTGAAAAAATAATTGAATATGTTATTGTGATAAATAGATGAAAAGTAGAAGGGTAATTGTGTCATTAACGTATCTAATAATAGCACAATAATTTTATTGGACCTTTCAAGGTCCAATTAGTTATCTTCAATATTGTCGGAACATGATTGGACCGCCTGGTCGGACCGGCCCGACCGCGACCCGCCACGAAAGCGGTCCGATCTGACGCCTAAAACTGGGATATTCAAGAACCCGGGCCAAGTGTCAGAAACCCGGTTCGACCGGCGAAACCTGGCGAACCCGGAAACCGGACAACGACCCTGGTTTTTTTTTTTATATAAAACACTTTGCCGGTGGCTGTTAGTGGTCGAATCTGCATAAAATTTGCCAGAGGTGGCCGGATCTAGGTGGAGTAGGCCGTGGGTGGCCGAAATTCAACGAGTCTGAGTCGTGGGTGACCGGAACACATTGTGTTTTATGGGATATGAAGTTAGAAAATAGAAGAACACGAGAAGAGAAGAAAAACTTGAAAGAAAAAAAAAGGAAACATGGAGAGCGATGATAGAAAATAAAAAAATTAAGCATAAAAAGATATATAAGAAAAAATTGAGTGGGTGAAATAATAAAGGCATAGTTAATAGGTATAAAAAATAATAATAAAGTGGAAGAGGGTGTGAAAGATAAAAAAAATGATATATAGAAAATATAAATTTAAAATATTAAAATAGTTAAAATATTTAAAAAAATAAAAAAAATATATATAAAACCCAGGTCGAATTCGGTTGAACCTGTCCAACCGTAATCCGAATACTTATTCGGTTTTGTGCCCGGTCCGGTTCTGACAACATTGGTAATCTTCCAATGATAAGGCATGACAAAATTATTTTTACGGGTGGATCCGGAAAATTATAAGACTAACCAAACATCAAAGTAAACATTACTATTTAGTTAATTTTGACTAATCTTGCCAATCGAAACAGGCATAAAAAAATGTTTTCAAGTGCAACGGCCCACCATGCACCACAAAGGGTATCGTGGAAATGAGATGAAATGGTGGCCAAGGCAAGGTTGTATTTGTAGTCAAGGTTGTGTAGCACGTTATACTTTTTTTTACGCCTCCATTTTGATTTGCCAATTAAAATGTCTTTACTACAGGTAGGTGGGGATGAAGAGAGATGTTAACGGTGTGGAAATTAAAGAAAAGAGAATAGATGAAAAAAAGAAAAGATAAAAAACAAAAAAAGATGTAAGGATTCCGAGTAAAAATAGGGGTAATATAATTTGAAAGATTAAAAAGAAACAATATTGTCAAAAGTGTGAACACCAAATTCAAGTACTTTTTAAAATCACTAATTATTAGGGGTGAAAATGGGAACGGACTCCCCGAATTCCGACAATTCCGATTCGAAAATATTTGAATTTGGAAAAGTATTTTTCATTTCAATTTCCGAAGTTTCGATTTTCGATTTTTCCAAATTTATGTGGAAAGAAATTGGAATTGTATATAGAATCACTGGATATTCCAATTTTCGATCTTGTTTTAGTTCCAAATATTTCAATTATTTTTTGAAATATATCATATATTTTATTATATATTTTGTTATTTCGTAATATAACTTATGTTATATTTTAAAAGAAAAATATAAATTATATATTTTCATTGTTCCTACATGGGATTTTATTTATTGTGTGTTTGTCTCCCTTTCGGAAAAAAATATGTAATTTGCTAAACTTTCGAAATTCTGCCAATTTTGAGGTATTTCGAAATTGGGATAAAATTTTTGCACTTCAATTTTTTTGAACGGAAATGCGAATCCATTTTTTACCCAGAAACTTATTTTTTTTACGAAAAAACTATTTGCGATCTATTCCATCGGATTTTGCTCCTAGTAATCATAGTAATCAAAGCCGAATTCCCCATTTAGTAGGTTGTTGGGGCTAGGAGTAGGGAATCATTTCAAACTTGTCATGTTTTCTTGATCACGAGGGATAATATCCAAATGTACCATCAATCATATGATCTGATAGTATTGCCTTTCACATTGTGCGTTATCATATTCTTGTCATTTTCAATGAAAAATTAAGTACGCTAATTTTGATTATTTGTATAAATGATCTTCTAATGGTTTTCAACTGAAGATGCCATGTGTAATGTTTTGAAATAGGAACAATCTCGTATAGGTTCGTCCACAATAAAATGCTTACAGCAACTCCAATCTTAAACATTAAAATTGGATTATCAAATACTCATTTGATAATTAACATAATATTGTAATATCCATCTACGATTTATCTACTACAACCATGGTTATCAAAATTAATAATCAATTGGAAGTTTTTAACTGGTTTTATTTTTAATTGCCATATGTCATTTTTTCATTGGATGCTTAGGTGTTTTTTTTTTTGGTTATTTCTATCCTACACCCGGTGAATGTTACACCGGGTGATTTTTTACCGTTGATCTACACACACCAATGTGGGTGTGTGTGTGTTTGTGTGTATATGAATGGTAAAGATCTACCCGGTGTATTTCACCCAGTGTAGGATCTCAAAAGCCGTGTTTTTTTTTATAACTCAATTTCCAGGATGTATTTTTACATACAAAGAGGTAGAATGTCAAAATACTTACTCATTTTGATACTCCCGTTGGAGTAGAATTTTTTTATTTTCGGATATCAGAGAGGTAGCTTATGGGTTTGATATTTCATTTGATACTCCCGTTTGAGTAGAAATTTTTAATTTTGGAATATCAGAAAGGTAGCTTATGAAGTTGATAATCCATTTTTAATTTTGGGATATAAGAATTTTTTTTTTCGTT